AGTAACTTGTGCTGTAAACAGAGGTAACGCAATCTGTTCACTCCATGAGATCCCATTTAATACAGCATGTATCATCTATCTCCCTCCCTGGAGCCTTGTCTTCCCAGGATACTGTATTATGTTGTGGAAGTGTGATTCCACATACTTTGTTCCTCCATGTAGAACCTTATGTTTTAATTCTAAGCGTGATCTTACCAGGGGTTTTAGGAGGTAGTTACTTACTTCCCATTAACTCGGCCAAATATATGCACCGTGCCAGGAGAGACAGTCACACCTGCAGAGCCGTGTAGCCCTCCTAACCATATTTTGTCATTGTAAGACATCCATGAACATCAGAAAGCATTTAGATGTTGAGCAGATCATGTGACAGCCTAGCACTGGAAGCTCACATAGTCTGAATTTCTAGGACACTTTCATCTCATCAGCAAAGCGTCTGAAGTATTTACACAGGACACAAAAGCATTAGCTGCTTTATCTTCTACTCTCACACATGCTGTGCAGCTAAAGAGAGTCCTTTGGTCTTTTGTGGCTTTCTGAGAAAAACCTGGCAGAGAAGTCTGTAAGAGTGGAGAGAGCTCTGTGCAGCATGAAATGTTCACCTTCTGTAGAATGGGACCTGACACCTGCAAACAGAAACTTCTTAGCACCAGGGAAAATTATCAATGGCACCAAACAAACAAAAAAAATCAAGCTTAAACCCATGTTTTCTGCATGTGGCCTCAATTGCACCACAGTGACCAGCTCCAGGCAGAACCTCCTAATATTTAGTTGGCTCTCTGTCTTGGGAAACCAGACCTCTCCCAGCCCTCCTTGTGTCACAGGAGGTCCCACCCCTTCTTGGGAATTTTGAAGTCCATTTATAGTTCCATCTCTTTGGTCCCAGCCTCCTTTGAGGGTAAGGAAGACTTAGATCTTACACCAAGAATGCATGCTGTATGTGCCAGCACAGTGAGAACGGGGGTAACTCCAGAGCCAGAGGGGTCTCTTTGCAGTGCTAAAGGCAAGAACACAGCAAGCAGTGATTATCCATAATTGGAAGTGTTCAGGATTTTCCTGAGCCTGGCCCTGAGCAACCCAGTCTAGTTTGAGAGTCACTCTACTGGGAGCAGAGGGGTGAAATAGAGACCCCAGAGGTCCTTTCCCACCTGAATCTTCCTGTGATACTGTGACTAACAAACAAGTGGGTTTATTTGATTTTGTGGTGTTTTTCTTAGGGAGGCAGTAGAAGATATCTTAAAAAGGATGCAGGCTGCTACCTGCCATGAGGTGCCAAGTGGAGAGGAAATTGAAAAAACAGCTCAGTTGCCACTACATTCTGAATTGCAGTCTGGCACACAATCATGTTAATCCAGCACAAATGCATAGTGTTGCACAGAGGGGCAATCCCATCTTCCCTTTCATGTCTCCTGCTGCCTCTCTTTTGTCAACACTGATGAGCAGTAGAGAATTGATCCAGCTGAAAACTAAACTATAAAGGAATAAATCCATTTTGATTTACAATGAGCCCTTTCAGTTTAAAAATGCACCATCTCCCTCCCTAGCAATTTTTTGTTCAAAGTAAAGTGGTTGGGGATCACCAAATCAGAGACTTTATTCTCTTCAGGACTATTCTGGAGCACTGCTGTGCCCCTCCTTGCTGTGCCATCATCCACAGCAACTTTCCCAGTGATTATATTCTTCTTCAAATGATTTTTCATAGCATCACTGCTCCTTTAGTTACCCTCTACTTTTTCATATCTAGCTTTCCCACTAAGAAAGAAACAACATATTCTCTATTTAGCCTGCAGCCTCCAGAGCTCCAATGTACCATGAGATATGGGCTCCTGTTCTCCTGCCATGATGCACCATGAAAACACAGCATGTGGATCAGACCCACTTTTTCACAGTTTCTGGGGACACAGGCAAATACGCCTGGAGCCAGACCCCTCTGTGCTCTGAGCAATGCTCATCCTCCAGCGTCTGAAACATGACAAGGTGCCTCTTCTCTGTTGGAGAAACCCAGGTTACTGCCCAGAGTAGAACACAGAGAGGATTTGAGCCCCATGAGCAGAAGGCACATCCTTCTGTGGCAGTTTTTCTCTGAAGGGATACGGTACTGTCAGTTGAGAGCAACAGCAGCAATAAAGATATGAGCCTGGAATATGTGGATTGGCCTTTCTCTCTTTTATGGCACTTTCAGAGGTTTTGTTTGCTTGATATTTCTGCCAATGCTCTGCCTGCTTTCTGGGCTATCCCTGGTGTCCAGCACTTGTATGTCATCCAGCTCTGCTGTGGGCACTGGAGCTTCCAGTCCACTGGCTCCCAAGGACCCTGCAGATGGTCAGACTCTTTCTCTCCAGGTACCCTGGGAGAAACACATTTTGGGAGTCCCACTCTCAGACCAAGGTTCAGCTCCCATCAAAGTACTCCTCAGCTCATACCTGAGTTAAGGCAATCTTTCAGGACCACTCAGCTGCTGCCCCAGCCTCTCAACAACACGTTGGGTCAGTGCCTGACTCCTTCACCTCAGTGTCAAGGTCACTGTAACTGAGAGCAAAGGTGGCAAGTGTCTCCCATCCCTCTTTGCTCTTGAGAAAACCCAGTGCAGCCCTGGGATATTTGGAAGGCTATTGCATATTTTTTGATTGGATTAGAAGCATGAACACTGCAATGAGAAGGGAGTCGAAATATAACCTAGTTTGCTGCATGGATTTTTGTATTTAATCCACCCCACCCTCTGTGTTGCAAAACATGGAGGTTGTGGCATCAAAAATATCACTTAACTAGGTATTGGCCAAGGTACTGATAGCCATAACCATCTCCACAGGTAGCTGTGATGACCAATAAGGATTCTGTAAGTGTCCCATCTCTCCTTGAGGAAGAATCTGGAGGTCTTTTGAAAGAGAATAGTTATACAGTCCTCCACAGTGAATGCTGGCCAGTTACAAGATACCAGATGCCAAATATGCCCATGAATGCTGCAGATTTTCTTCAGTAATTAAATAATTGGGGGTTTTGTTATGTTTTGGGGTTTTTTTTTTAGCAGAAATGCAGCTCACAACTTTAATCAGATCCCCCAATGTTGTTTCTGACTTTCTAATTCAGGTTTCTCTGGGATATGCTGCTGAGTATTGTCACACAAAGGGTAGTCACCTTCTAGCACTGTAAAGAAAGAGGCTGCAGATTTATCCAAAGACCCCATAAAGCTATGTTTTCTTAAAGGTGCTCTCATGGGATTCTGGGAAGCAGGGCACTGCTAGACTCTCCTCAGTGCCCTATCAGAGAACTGTGGTGACTCAGGCACTGCCTCCCTAAAAAGGACCCTTTCAAAAAAGCCTCCCAATCAGGCAGCCAATCACTCTGCCTCCTCCTAGCACTTCTGCAGTGGCATATTTTGGTTTTGGCCAGATCTACTGGGAGATGGAAACTTTCTCTTTTCCAGTGCTCTTCTCCTCACTGCTTTTTGGGACCTGTCATCTCAGATGAATGGGTCCCTTCTCCAAGACCACCCTCTGATGTGTTGATGTGTGGTGTACCCAGCCCCTGGGGAGATAACATGCCGCTTCCAGGCATCATGAAACATGCTTGGTACCCACCCTGGACTTAACTTCATATACAGAATGCACCTCTGGTTGGCACCTTGGTAGAAACTATCATGGCCCTTTGTGTGGGAAAAGTGGCTTGCATTCCTCTACCTCAAGGGTGCCTATTTTGATGCATTACCCCATTGTGCATCTCACAGAAAGCCTACCAAGCTGTGGACACCAGCTCTTTCTGCCTCAGGGTTCTGCAGCTTGACCTCTCTGCAGCAACAAGGTGTTGACTTGGGAACCACTGCATCTGTCCCAAGTGCCCAGAGAAGGGCAGCTCCACTACTTCCTCTCTGCAGCTGAGCTTAGATTTCTTTTAGTTCCCTAAGCTTCCCAGTCAGTGCCAGAAGTCTCGCAGTTAATCCCAGTCCCTGTTGCCTGTGCAGGCACCTGTTGGGTACCAACCTGCCCAGTAGCTCTTGCTCACACCACATCCTTGCCAGACCTTCCCTTCTGTTTCCCCAGGTGTGGCTGCTTTTTGTTTACAGTTCCTTGCCATGAAGTTATTGGTTATCTCCCATTAGTAAGGAACTTGGTTTTGCCTGCTATGTTTGCTTTAGCACTGGACAAACAGCAATCAGGATGTTTTACGTGAGGTCCTTCTGGCAAGCACTCTATCTCAGGAACGCCCAGACAAGCTGATAACTCAGTCTTCAAGTCATGGCATGGTTTCCTAGATCAGCTGAAGTCTGAAAATAAATTCTAGAGCACCTGAGAAAGTCAGCATAAAGTGGAAGATTGTGACTACTTTCAGATTTGATGGTGCAAGGACCAAAACATGAAAGTGGAATCATTCAGAGAAAAACACGGTATTACAGAAATCTGGAAATGCAGTGGAAAATTCCTTCAGCAAGACTAACTCAATGATACTGCAGATCAGTGTTTTCTATTCCTATTTTTCTTGGTGAGTGTAGTTTGCATCCATAAGACATGCCAAGAGAGACAAGAAGAGCAATGTATTAAGGTTGTGCACAAGATGACTGCTGTGGTGAAGTCTGGAACCTGGCTGAAGCTACTAATGCCTAACATGGACAAAGGAGTATTTAGTGAGCTGAGCTTCTACGTCCCTGCCCTTGGCTACTCCTGTTGCAGCCTGCCCCTCATTCCCCATGGCTCTGCCAGGGTCCCACACATCCCTGTCAGCCTCTCTGCCCAGGGGACCCACGCGGGTGGTTCTGAGAAGATGTCCCTGTGCTGATCTCTCTCTGGTCTCTGTTATCTCTGCCTCGGGGTCTCATTCTGGGAGATGACGAAAATGCTATTCGAGGGAGTCAGCATTTAAAATGGGTCGTTAGAGAGAAACGTCACAGTGTCTTTGCTAAAGATAGCCTGGTGCTGAGTAAAACAGTGCCTCTAAAACCTTCCTTTTACAACATGCTCACTCAGCATAATAACCCCTCGGCCTCAAACACCCCTCCCCAGTGCCAGGCAGCTCCTGTCATTTTCCTGGGCTCTCCATCAGTCTCTTGTGACCACCTCTTGGGAAGCTGTAGCAGGATGGGACTACGTCCTCTGCTTTGCTGAGTCTTACAAGAGATAAGCATTTCCTAGAGCATGAATTCCTTTAAAAGTGGTTTTGAGGGCTAAAGTGGAATAGTGCCAGGGTGCCAAGGCTACAAGAGCAGAGAGAGTTGAGATGGAGGGAGAAAGCAATGAGCTCAATGTGCCCCTCAAGTGAAGCCAGGAGAGGGGGAGCAGATGATGCTGGACTGCAGCAATGTATGTGTCTCCCCACCACGGTTCCAACTCCCTTCTCTCTCTCTCACCTTCACCCACACACTCACACCATTCTTGCACTGCTGATTCAAGGGAAAGAAGCGGTTGATGCTTTATGCTTGAACTGGTCACCACAAACTGTTTTTCTTGAACAGTAGGAAAAAAACACCTCCTGACGACTGTCGCAAGTTCTCCCCTATCTTTACTCCTCTCTTTCTCTCTCATGTGATCCCATGGACTGTGTTACACAAGAGGGCATGTGGCACCACTACAAAGCAGTCCCTCGGGGACATGGAGGCACATGAAGTTCCCCCTGTACACCAATCCCACTCCTCAGGAGGCTGGAGAGCCATGTGTGATGAAAGAGATGAGACCTGTCACTGCAACAGGGGTCTGCTGAAGTGAGGCATAGCACTGGCCCTCTTTTATCCTCCACCTTCACCACCCAGCTGAGGAAAACCAGAGAGCAAGCAAGGATCCTTCCACAGTTGAAAAGTGGCCACTATGAGTCACCTCCCTTCCCCCAGCCTGAGGAAAAGCCCCAACACTTGGGGGATGAGCCACCGAGGGGCTTGGGTGTCTGACACATGTCACAAAGGGTTGATTAAGTCCGAAAGAGTCAGAGCAGTGGGCTGCTGGAAAGTGTGAACCACAACAGTGGGGGTTCTCTGAGACAAAATGGGTCCCAGGATGAGGCACATGGATGGAAATGTACTGCCCTATGTAAAGGTCAGCAGCTTAATGGGAGCTAGGTTGAGCCCCCTCTGTGCATGAGCTTGAGTGGGTTTTCCCAGAACTGCTGGAGGAGGAGGGTCCCTTCCTCACACTCCTCATCGTGCCACAGTATTCAGCCCCTCTTTTCAGTTCTGATTCCTTCTTCTGGATGCTCCTCTCTATCTCCTTGGACCACCCGGGCTTTGTCCCATATTGGCCCCGGACTCTAGATTGTTGAGTCACATGTGCCCTACTTGGAGCTCGCCACAGACCATTTCCTCATGCTGCCTGTGAACTGACCAATGAGAAAAAGCCAAGAAATTAGCTCATTTTGAGGATTAAAGAAGGAAAGAAAAAGAAAATGAAGGAAAAAAAAAAACCAAGAAGAAAGAACAGCAGAAATAAAGACCAACATGTTCTCAAAAGCCCTGAAACAATTAGAGGGAAGCTGTAAGAGACGGAAAGATCAAACCAAAAAAGGTAAGAGATGAAAGAAAAACATGAAGGGCACTTGCTGGGAAGTGTCTTCTACACTTTTTCCACTGGCTATGTAGAAGCGAAATTTGTAAGAAAAACAACAGCGACTCAAAGAATTTCCACTAAAAGATGCTTACAGCTGTGTCTCTGGTCCCTCCCTCCTCTGCTCTCACGTGCCTCAGGCTTATACTGGTTTCTTGGTGGTGACGCATCTTCTTAGTGATATGAGGAAATTTGCTGCCCACCTGCAATATAAGGGCATTTAGGGAAATGCTTTGATCAGAGAGAGAGAGAGAGAGACGGCATGAGAGCAAGCACATCCCAATGACCCCTCTTTGCTTACCCACCAACTTCTAGCACCTTCTTTGCCCATGCCTCATTTTTACTGATCTCTTCAAGCTTTGGACCTTGTCAAGCACGGACCCAAGTAGGAGGCAGCCCCTCGCCTTTCCTGGATGCCACCATGAGGCTGGTGTCCCTGGTGCTGTTCCTCACCTTTGCCCTGCTGGCTTTCGGTGGTAAGAGGGGCTGAACCTATTGGGGAGGGCAGTGTAGCTCAGTAAGCTGAGCCTGGGTGTTACTTGGTCCCTGACAAGACTGGAAGGGAGAGTTTGTGCCCTTCCAATCCACCACTCTTTGCTCAACTCTTTATCTTGTTACAGCTGGTCACATCCTAGCAGGATTAGCGGAGGGGGAAAGCAGGGAGCAGAAAATGTGGGTCAGAGAGGGGAGTTCAGCTGTGCTGCCCTGCCACTGGAGCCCCAGAAAAATGAGAAAGAGCTTGAAGCAGCTGCCCGACAAGACATCTGTGCAGTGGAAGAGGCATGGGGGAAGGTATGTCAGGGTCAAAAGAAATTCCAGTCCTTCTGGGGGGACTGGAGAGGGTGGGAGACACTTTGAGCCCCTTTTCTCTTTCCCCATCTTCCCTCCTTCCTGCCCCCTCCCTTGATCTAACATTTGCCTCTGGGATGAGCAGCTCACTTATCCCACTTCCAGTGTCCACCAGGAGTCACATGGGGTGCTGGAGGTGGGGTACTCGGGCCTCCAGAAGACGGCACTGCTCATGAAGCCCCGGGTGTCACTCCAGGACTCTGCCTTACACAACGGCAATTTCTCCCTGCGGATTGACCCCGTCAGGAGCGAGGATGCTGGGCTGTATGAGGCACGGGTGGAATACAACTCGGAGGTCCATAGCTGCCATGTGGAGCTGGGGGTAGTTACAGGTAGGAGAAGATAGAAAACCTGGAGAATGTTGATTTTAGGACCGGGGAGGTTGTAAAGATGGGATGGGGTGGGGATGCTGTGTTTGGTTGGGCAGGTTAGAGTACAGGCAGCATCCTCCTGAAAGCACACAGTTTCCTGCTGTCTGTTCTCAGTTCTGGAGGGGCGCCTGCCTGTGGGACAAGGCTAGGACAGGGGGACACAAAGGGTTGCGTTGGTAGTTCCCCTGTGATCTTAGATCACCCCCCCACCCCAACACTTTGGTTTTTTGCAGTAACCCTCAGTCCACCCAATCCTGTGGAAGAAAATGAGCTGCTCTTGATGAGCTGCAACTCCAGCTACCGGGCCAGCCTTGTGGAGATATGTTGGTTCCATAACGGGCACCTGGGCCCCACCTCCAGGACCTTCTGCTCTTTGTCTGGGGCTCTCTCCATCCTGCGGCCAGCCATGAGTGATGCAGGCTCCTGGCGCTGCCAGCTTCGATACTCTGATAACGAGATAATTTCTGCCACGTATGACCTGCAAATTCTAGGTGACCTCAACCTCTGTGTTGATATTCCAGCATCCCCAAGTTAATCCCTTTGATGTGACTGACTAACCCCAGTAGTTCCAGCTTCCCAGCTCCCACCCTGTCCTCACTTCCCAGGTCAGTCATCTCCCATCTTTCCAGCCACCACCTCACATTGTGCTCTTTCTCTGGCTTAGGTTTTGATGGCCCAACCAACCCTGTGGTCTATGCTGCAGCTGGCTCTGCAGCCCATCTACCATGCAGCCTGAGCTACCTTCCCAGCTCCTTTCAGATGAACATGGTGACAGCCCACTGGAGCCATCTTGCAGGAGGACACTTGCAAGACTGGGACATCTTCCCAAATCTGAGTAACAGAAGCTTCCCCCTGCATCTCCCTGTGGTGGGGCCGGGTGATGCAGGGCAGTACCGCTGTGCTGTCTCTGTGGGCCACAAAACAATCAGCAGGGAGGTGACCTTGGCAGTGGTTACAGGTGAGAGGAGAGACAAGGAGGTGCATTACCCCTCTGGAGTCCCCCAGTGCTTACAGATAAACCTCCCCACGTGTCAGTGCAGTGAGCGTGGGTAGCTCCTTGATCATGAGTTCCCACCTTGGGGTGAGAAACAAGATCTCTATTGAGAGCATTGCACTGCACTGGAGTCTGCTGAAGTTGGTTTTCCTTAGTGACCTGATTATTCCTCTTAAAACTAGGGAAGACAAAGAAAATAAATTAGAGGAAATAATAAAGAAGGGATGTAATAGAAGAAGGATGGATGAAGAAGAGATGTGGACCTGTCTGTAGTCTTTCCTGAGGGTATTTTTTTTCCTTTGCTGCAGTGACTCCAAGCATCCAAGGACCAGTTTCTGAGGGGAGTCGTTTGCAGCTCATCTGCAGCCTCACACACTCCCGGGGACATGAACGTTTCCAGTGGAAGCACCTTGGCTCAGTCCCCACTAAGAGCAAGCTGGCTGTGGCCACCCCCCAAAACCTGGAGGGCAGCAGCGCCCAGATGGGACCTATCTTGAAAATACCCAAAGTGTCACAAAAGGATACGGGCACATGGGAATGCAGTGTGTATGGCCCAGAAGGCCAACTGGGAGGAGTGGAGTACAAGCTGCAGATCACAAGTACTGTCCCCCATGTATTTGTAACCAATCTCTTCTTGCCCTATTCAGTTCCCTGGTGCCTTTCCTGTCTCACTTTCACCCTCTCCTTCTTCCCTTGGACCATTTGGATCCCATCTCCTTGTCATCCTGTCCTAGCTCTCACCAGTCCCTTCTGTTGCTCCTTCCAGTTCCCTGCACTCTTTCCCATTTTGCCCATTCCCAGCCTTGCCCCAGTGCAAAACTGACATTCCCTTCCTTCCTAACTGTGGTTCCTCCTCACAGGTGCCCAGGTCTCCAGCCCTCCTGCTGTCTTCAGTGGGCAAGTTACTTTTGGGCTCACACTCACTCTCTTCCTTCTGCTTGCTGTCTGTGTTGTGGCTCTGGCCCTACAGAAAAGGGTAAGTGTTCATCACCCAATTTCTGTTATTTTTCCTGTACATCAACCCTTATTTGACCTTATTTGGCAGCTCTGGCTAACCATGGTGTTTGTCTGGAGGCAGGCCAGACACCTCAGAGGAGGGATGAAACCTCCGAAGAAACAACCACAGCCCAGTCTTGAAAAGCTTCATGTTTATTCTCCCACAGATTAAGCCACGCTGTGCTAGAGAAGGGTTAATTTTCAGGCTTTTGTACATGTTGTCTCTCTTATTCCTTATCCGGACACTTTAATGTAACAATCTCCTGTTCTATATGAATGCCTACTGGTGCCCAGAAACAGATCTCAATGCAGGGCTGTTGTTTCTGGCTCAGCCTTCACATCTTAGCCTCTGCTTCTGGCAACTTAACTGACCTCTGTTTGCTCAGCTTGTTCCAGTATCTCGTCCTCTGAAAACTCTACCTTACCTTTATGATCCCAAAGACCAGACCAGGGCTAATGGTTCCCAAGCATGTCCCCAGAAAAAAAGCTATGCAAACAAGTCAGACTGTTGCTCTGCAGTTTTCATACTGTTGCTCTGCAAGTTAATTACATGGCAAATTCATCCTTCAAGGTATCCTTTTGTTGACAAGAGACACCTTTCGAGTGTAGGTGTGATGTAGTTGCCTTCTACTTAACTTGGAAAGGGTCCACAGTGAAAAACCCCTTCTAGTGCAGAAGGGGCTGGGGGATTGGAGCGGTCTAAGTTCAGAAGACCTTGCCCCGGTGAAAGAGCTGGGAGCATTGGAATTGCCTTGAGCTGAAGACAAGGGATGTGTTAGCATTGATAAAAAGTCTTAGCAAGTCCCAGTGGCTGGAGACTGAAGACAAGCAGCATAGGAACAAAATCAAGGTTGGAATTTTTAAAAACCACTGTGGGTACCACTAGAGCAGCTCATGACAGGTTCTTCATCATCCATCCTTAATTATCACTGATGGTAAAGGATAATCTGAGGCAGAAATCTACAGTTTCTGTGTGACTCTTTGGACTGTGCAAGTCCGGGACAAGATGATCAGAACCACCCTTTCTGGCCAAAAACCTTGGGAGAAATCCCTTGGCAGTGTAAGTCTAAGGCCTCAGCTAGCAGGAAATAGGACACCTGGGTGTCCAGCTGTTAGTTAAAGTTTCATGTAGCCAGGATATTTACCACCCTAAAACATTTGCATATGCCCTCATGGCCGTGCTTTGCTGAGTAAGCAAGGCTCCTGTGTTGAAGCACGGGTCCTCCATCCACAGGTGGTCCTCAATCAGCTCTGGGTGGCCCTGCTTTATCAGGGCGTTTGGACTGAATCATGTCCAGAGCTCCCTTCCAACACCAACATCCAGTGATTCTGTGATTCATGCCCTTCTCTGCACAGACTCCCCGCTGGGCTCATCCTCCATCAGAGTGCAGATGAGGTGCCTCAAGCAAAGATATCAGCTCTTCTCTGGTTCTCTCCCTCTCTCTGCTGGCATCCTCTGAGATTACATTTGCTCTCCTTGCATTAGCTGGACACCGGATGCTCACCGCAGTGTATCATGCGCACTTGATGGGCTGTTGCCCACACATTAGGAATTCCTATTCCGATCCCCTGAGCCTATCAACGTGCCATTGGTACTGTTGCATTTCATTCATCCTGTCACTCAGTTTAGTGCTCTGTTCTCCTAAAATATCTGGGTCTTGTGTGATATTTTCATCCTCTTTCTTCCAAATGAGGCTCCTCAGCTTTATCAGCTACCTAACTCATTAGCACTTTCACACTCTCTATGCCAATAATGACTGATCTTTGAAGACTTGTGCTTATCATTTCCCTACAGCCTGACAGAAACATGCCAGCAAAATCGCAGTCCCTTCTTAGCTGGGATTACACCTACCATGCTACTCTCCAACTATTCTCATCCTTCTTGCTGAACTGATTGTCTGTGTGTTGCCCTATACTTCTACACTGTCAGAAGCCCTGAGATCTACATCTTTTCCATTGTCTAGAAAGTCACTTGTGAAAGTAGTTCTGTCTTTAATTTGTTCTTATCTCATTTTACACAACCCTTCACCACCTGAAAAGGTGGTGTAAAATCTGGCATACCATCAAACCTGACATTGGCCTGACCATTGCCCAGATCACTCTTTGCTCTCCCTTAAGCATGTCCTGTCTTTGTTATTCCTTATGCCCATGACATCACTGAGGATCATGTTGGGACAGCACTCCCCAGAAGAAACTGCAGGTCTCAGAGAGTGGCTTCTTCCCTGGCTCTAGGAGGGAATGGGAGCCTTATGGTTGCAAGCAGTAGGATCGTGTCTTCCATGGCAAGGAGAAGCCCAGTCTACCATGCCATTCAATCTCCCTCCCATACCTGATGTTGCCTCTTTTTTCCCTTTCAGGCACAGACTCCTGCCTTCTCAGCACTGGAAGGGATGATTGGAGTCCCTGGGCCGTGGAAGTTGATGAAGGAAAACCAGAAAGGGAAGATCCAACAAACTGAGTGCTGACAGGAGCAGGGACACCAGGGCTAGTCTGCATGGGAGGATGGAAATCTGTGTGCCGTGCTGCAGAGAGATGGGTGCCATGCAGACCTGTCAGGGGGGTCTAGGGATGGCATGAACAATGCAGAAGGCATTGGGAGCTCTGTATCTGCAGAGGGGCTGGGAGCTGCCTACCAGGGCAAGGCAAGCCTCACTGCTGCAGTAAGGTGGCCAGCAGCACAGATGCTTTGGAGCTATTGGGAGTATTTGAGCCAGTAGCTATTGCCTGCTTTAGTGCCAAATCTCTGCCTACTCTTTGTCCCTTTTTCGTGGCTCCTCTCACAACCTTTCTCTGGTGGAACACCAGGATGCAGGAGATGGCTGGAATCTGTCTTTCCTGCAGCCTGATGGTGTTTTCTGCCCCCCTTGCTCGCTTTCTTCTCCCTCTGCCTGCACTGCCCTGATCACTGCCCTGTTGCATATTTTGAGCATTTTAACTTATTAGAAACTCATTTTAGAACTGAAAATAAATCTATGTGACAAAAAAGCCCGCTGGTCCCTGTATGTGCTTATGGGGGATTGTGCCTATTTGACTGTGCTGGGTGTACCTCTGCCTATTTGAAGCCGTTTCTAAGGCCTTTGCTGCCTTTCTTTCTTTTTCAGTTCTGTTTTACTGAAGTTGCCTGTTCATTTCTGACATTTTCACAGCGGGGAAGGGGAAATTAAATGCCACTAGAGAAGAAAGAATCACAGGTTCGGTCTCTCCCTTTTGCTGTGTTTCAGAGTCTTTTTTTCTTTCTTTTTCTCCCATCTGGCTGTCCCTGTTCATTCATTCATTTATTCCTTTCGTTCTCACATTTTCCTGAAAGATCTACAACTGATGTTAGGGCTCTCTGTCACTCTTCTCCTGCTAAGGATGTATTTAGTAATGCAAGTGTGAGTCTGCCAGGTCCCATCTCTCAAGACCCTTAATGTGTTTAGCTTTCATGTAGTCAGAGAATGCTCTTCACCTCCTCTCTGAAAAGCCACGGAAGACTGTAGTACTGCTCTTGAGCAGCCATTACATGCCACCCCAGAAGAAAGCCTCACTAATAAAGAGAGCCACACATGTGGTGTCTCCCATATGGGTCCCCAGGCTGTGGCTGCTCAAGGGGACAGAGGAACAAAAATTAAGCTCTCAATATTTAAGATGAAAGGTTCTCTTGACTTGAGTAAGAGGGATCAGTAGCATGCCAGATTTTCATTATTTCACCAGGCATATGGTGTGTAGCTTTCACCTTCCCTTTCCAAGAGGGAAGCTGCATTCACAGCTAGCAAACGCACTTTGGGATCCTCAGAGTGCAGGTAATGGAGCAGCATCCAAAAAGTCACAACTGGCCCACTCTGAAGAGCATGTCTGGATTCCACAGCTCTTTAGCTAAACAGTTAGCCATGTATTTTACTGAAAATGACACTCATTTCTCCACTGAGTCCTAGAGAAATGCAGCAGAGCCACAAGGTAGACCTGTCTGCTTCAACCATCCCATGCAATTTCAGTCAGAACAAACAAAACACACGACAATCCAGCTTGTCGCCAGAATTTTCCTAGGCAATTGATAATACTGCAATTTTTTTTAAGGTTGGAGTGATCTGTAGCTCAATCCCCTCTCTCTGCCAGATGTTTTGGAGATAGAGAAAAGGTGGGTGAGTCCCAGTGGGGCTAAAGGGCTGTCTAATATTCATCAGGACCACATCATATTCTCTCAGTGCCTCACAGCAGTTTGCTCTCTCCTCTAATACACAATGGGATGCTCTCTCCTCCTGTGTAGGACTTTTAGCATTGCCTTTTACCAGCCTAGACGTTCTCATTGCTCAGATGTGTGCCTGGTCTCTCTTTAAACCTCTCTGTTTCCTTGTACTCTCTGGCTTCCTCTGGCAATCAGTCCTCGGGTCTGCTTATTCGTTGTGTGAAAATGGTTCCTCTACTGGTTTTGAATTCAGAGCTTTCTGGTTTCATCATCTGGTTTCTTTTCTTCTGTCACAAAGACTAGAAGAAGAGGGACTCCCAGATCTATCATATCTTAGATGGTCATTATTTTACCACCTTTTATCACATCTTTTTTTTTGTTATTTCCCCATCCCCTCCTGACTTATTGCCTTTCAGGTACAAATCCCAGTTTTTGGGACTTTCTCGCTGACAGCTTGCACAGGCCCATCTCTGAGCATGGCCAACTTCTGAGCATGGCCAACTCTCCTCATGCTCTTTGCTCTGGAGGAGGAGACAGCAGCCCGGCAGGGGAGTGGTGCTGGTTCACATGGACACACGGTGCCTTTCTCTGCATTACTTCAATCTGCCCCTTCATGGCTCCTGGTGTTTTGTCTGCTTCTCTGAGAGAAGTTCCCCACTGAACAACACTGAGCTTGTACCCAGCTGTGCCTGTTGTGATGGCCTGGGCTCTTGCCTGACCTGATGCAGTGTACAGTTACAGTGAGCAAAAGCTTCCTCAGCTGGACAGGGAAGAGAAAACGTAACAAAAGCCTTGTGAGTCAAGATAAGGGCAGGGAGAGATCATTCACTGATTACTGTCATGGGTAAAACAGACTTCACTTGGGGAAATTAATTGAATTTATTACCAACCTTGAGAAAGTAAACCCAAACCTTAAATGAAGTCCCTCCTACCACTCTGTTCCTCCAAGGCTTACCTTCAGTCCCAGTTTTCTCCACCTCCTCCCACAGCAGCACAGGGGGACAAGGAATGGGGTTTGTTGTCAGTTCATTGCAGATTGTCTCTGCCACTCCTTCCTCCTCGTGGGGAGGACTCCTCACACTCTTCCTCTGCTCCAGTATGGGTTCCCTCCCACAGGAGACAGTTCTCCACAAACTTCTTCAATGTCAGTCCATCCCACAGGCTGGAGTTCTTCTTGAACTGTTCCAGTGTGGGTCCCTTCCATGGGGTGCAGTCCCTCAGGAACAGATAGTTTCAGTGTGGGTCCCCTGCAGGGTCACAAGTTCCACCAGCAAACCTGCTCTAGCATGGGCTCCTTTCTCCATGGGTCCACAGGTAGTGTCAGGAGCCTGCTCCAGTGTGGGCTTCCCACAGGGCCAAAGCTTTCTTTCAGGCATTCACCTGCTCTGTTGTGGGGTACTCCACAGGCTGCAGGTGGATCTCTGCTCCAGCACGGATCTCTGGACTTCCACGGGCTGCAGGGGATACAGCCTGCCTCACCAGGGTCTTCCTCACAGGCTGCAGGGGAATCTCTGCTCTGACACCTGGAGCACTTCCTCCCTCTCCTTCTGCACTGACCCGGGTGTCCGCAGGGCTGATTCTCTCACATATCCTGACTCCTCTCTCTGGCTGCAGTTGCTCAATTTTTTTCCACCCCTCTTAACCATGTTATCCCGGAGGTGCTACCACTGTTGCTGATGGGCTTGTCCTTGGCCCGCAGTGGGTCCATCTTGGAGCTGGCTGGCACTGGCTCTGTCAGACACGGGGGATACTTCCGGCAGCTTCTCACAGGAGCCAACCCTGTTGCTACACTGCGACCTAAACCTTGCCATGCAAACCCAATACACAGCGGCTGAAAACTTTGACAAAACACAGGAAATCCAGTGGATTCCCTTTTGGCAGAGAGGAGAGCTTAAGGAATGCAAAGAAAGTGTTATGCATGCAAATTCCTTTGCATATGACTCCTCCACAAGGAATGGGAAGACAATCTTTAATCCCAAATTAATCTTTTTTTGGTAAGAAAGATCAGCACCATCAGAAAAAAATCATAACTAGGTCCAGATGTTCTGCATCCAGGACTTCTCAGGGATTTACAGTGAGAGGCTAAGTAAGCGCTAGTGAGTAGCGTAATCTGACAAAGGAGCAACTATAAACACATCTATTGTGGTCTTGGTACATTCTGTACAGCCTTTTAAAACCAATAAAAAGTTAGAACCAGATCTCAAATTATGTAGGATATTAAGGCACATTGAGTTTTATACTTGCTTGGCAAATTTGTGGGAACAATTTCAGCACCAGTCCTGCAAAAAACCCCCAATGACTTACTACTCTGTTTGTATTTCTTCAGCACTTTTACGAACAAACCCAAAATATCTAGGGTTCTCAATTTTGCAGAGTGGTTGGAACGAGATGGTCTTTAAGGTTCCTCCCAACCCAAACCATTCTGTGGTTGTATGAAATCGCACTCCCGCAGCGCTCTGAAGGGGCACCTATGCTCGGGAGTCAGGGCGCGGCAGGGGCCGGAGGCTGCAGCTGCTGCTCCTTCACTCCCTCCTGGCACAGGGCTACTCTCCTTGTCCCGAGCCAATGCCGCCATCTACTGTCCTCCTGCGCCGGGATTCTCCCGCCCACACGCGCCGCGCATCGAGTGCATCCATCCCTGGTGCCTATTGGGCTGCGCACTCAGTGACTCAGCTCCCCAAGGACCGCTTGGCACGCCCAGGTCCTTCCCTTCTTTGCTTTCAGCTGAGGAAGCTAAAGCAAAATTTCTCACAGTTACTGTAACCTGATGGCATCTGCCATTGAGTTGCAAGCCGCTCTAATGCTCCCAGCCCCAAGCTGCTTCCAGTGTGATACTCCAGAACCTCTGTGCTGATGAAACACCTCCATCAAAACAAATATTGTCACCAGCTTCTCCCCCTTCCTTTTGTCAAGGTCATTAATAGCGAGATAGATACAGTTTCTTAAAAGCTTCCCCAGTTACCTCTCTCCCGCCTGTTGTGTTTCTGACACATCCTTAACATGGGATTGTTTTTGTTTAGGCTGGCTTTAGCCTCTGTCACTTTCAGTGACACACTTTTGCAGTCGGTGGTTCCTGGACCATTCCTCTTTCCAGTGCCCTCTGAGTAGTCTCTGACTACCCAGCACACCTGGCTAGTTTTGCTCCATCAGACTTCACATCTCCCACCTAAATACAGGGGACCCCTTGCTCATGAAGAACATCTCCGCATGTTTCCCGATTTTCCGCTGTGATCAGTAGATGAACCTTCATGATATCTGCTTAGAGAATCCTCTCTTCCCAATCAGGCTTCTGCAGAGAGACTCCTAGTGCCTGCAGGAGGTATCTCCCTCTGGCACAACCTAGGAGCCTTCCTCCCTTCCAAGCAACATAGCCGTGCTGGGGCAAATCACCAGGCCCCCTCACCAGAGGGCGGGTTGTTTCTAGCTCCCCATATCTAGTGTCAGAAATGCCCCTTGACAAGCTCACCAGGTGTCAACTATTCTGTTACAAAGAGACTGTTCCTGGCCTTTGAAGCTGCTGGCAGTCAGGTGTCTGAAGACATGATTGTTATGTTGTGTTCAAATCACTAATTTTCCAACGCATCTGGGTATCCTCCACCCACCAGGCTTCACAGGCACACTCAGAGTTCTCACTCATGCACGGGGAGCTTGGTTTTAAGGAGATCATCTCTGGAGGTATCTTGGCTTTCCAGCAGAGCCAGTAAAAGGTCCCTCTCAACATCTGATTTCTGAAACCCTTTTCTCCCTTTTTCTCATTTCCCCGGAGAGATTTTGTGTCCCTTCAGACTGTGACCTTCACTCAGTATAG